AGACCTTTTCCTCCTTTATCACCACCAGTCATTGTTGCTTGTTGGGTAGAAGAGTGGACTCCCTAACCTGCCACCACCTTCCTGCTGCTGCTTCTGCTGCCTGCTCACCACCCCGTCCGAAGCGAAAATGAGTTGAGGCTAGACAGCAGCGCTCTTTTATATCTTTTCAGGTAAAGCAGAATGATGTGCAACCAAGTGGTACTCGATCATGACGACTGGGTTTGGGAAAACGATTATTTCATGAAAACAGTGATAAAATTGTCACTTTTTATTTGTACATTGGACAATGCTTAACATTACCACTTTTTCAATAGTTTCTTGTTGAAAATAATTAGTCGGAAGCATTGCGTAGAAATATTGCTGATCAATTGGTGATAAAATTATTGAAATTGGTCCAGGGGCAGCTGAGTTATTAATGTTCAAAATCTTTCATAATTTTGTTTCATATTCTATTTTCGGTTTTCACAAAGTGTACCCCCAGTATAGATACTAAAGACGTCAAAATAACAGAACGGATTCACAAGTTGATTTAGCTGCTGTTGATTGCTGCGCTGCTGTTACTGTTCCAGCGACGATGCTACTCAATCGATGCGCGTTCGACCGTTGGAATTGAACGGCCAACGTCCACGTAGGTGGACGAACGTGATCTCAACAGCAGTGGCAGTTGTTAACCACAAAGCCCCGCTCATCAGTCCGCATCGTGCCCTCTTGCCGTGCGGATCTATTTGCTTTTTGCTGAAGGAAGTGTTACTACTACCTAAAGCTACAACAAATTTAAACAGCACTTTTCAGTGCTCAACCTGTAAAATTTCTACCTTGTTCAACTCTTATTCCTCTTCAATCCTTGTTTGGACCCTACCCGAGGTAATCCTTCTTGGATATCGATTTGGAAAATTCCTCTTCGATCCTTCAGATTCTTATAGTAATCTGCTTGGAAGTCGATTTGGATAAAAATTTACTGCCGCCATGGCGCCTAAACGCAAAAGAAAGGGGCAAACTCTTGATCCCCCTTCTGATAAAATTAATTTGAGTAATCCATTTGATTTGCTCACGGATGATGAGAATGATCCATCATCCAAGAAAAATTCTAGTAAACTTTCCCGGCTTAGTGCCAAGAAGGAAAAGATTCCCCCTATTGTGATAACCACTTCCGATTTCCATGCTCTTCGCATGGAACTTTTGAACTTCGTGAAAGTTAAGTTTTCACTACAAATTGGACGTCGGGGTGAATGCCGTGTATTGGCTGGAACCTTGGACGGATTTAAATGTCTTCTCAAGTATCTTACTGAGAAGAACCACAAATTTTTTACCTACGACACCAAAACTGAACGTGTGTTCAAGGTTGTCATGAAAGGACTGCCCAGTGGTGAATCCCTGGATCAGATCAAAGATGAACTGGCAAAATTACTTGGAGTTGTGCCACTCCAAGTAATCAAAATGAAAATGAAATCCCGTCCTGGCGATTCGCGCAACGGGATTTCTAATGATTTTTATTTAGTTCACTTCAAGTCTAGTGAACTAAACAACCTTAAGGCCTTAGAAAAAGCTAGCCTTATGCTCCATGTCCGAGTGAAGTGGGAACACTTCAGGAAGACTGGAGGAAATTTCCAAAATCTCACCCAGTGCCGTAAGTGCCAGGGATGGGGTCACGGAACTAAAAATTGCTACATGCCAGCTAAATGCATGAATTGTGGTGATTCCTCTCACGCAAAGGACGACTGTCGTGTAAAGGAAGATCCTAAGAAATTTAAATGTTCAAATTGTGGTGAAAACCACAAATCCAATTTTTGGGAATGTAAGACTCGCAAAGCGATCCTACAATCTCGTTCTAACCGACAGGTAGGAAACGCTCAACGTTTCCGACCAGGTACAAATTCCTCTGCTGTTAACAACGGTCAGCGAGGAACAAATTCTACATTCGTTCCCGTAGGTACAAATATCACCCCTGCTTCAAATTGTTCATCTGTACCTACTCCCCTCGCTGCTAACAATGTTCAGCGAGTTAATGGAGCTACCTATGTGGCTATTGCAACGGGTAGAAATCAAAATACTAATCAACGTAATTCTAACGGAAATTTTGACAATTTTGACTTGGATTTTTTACAGAAATCATTAATTGACATGATTTCTGATATGCTTAAATCTAACTCCATATTTGATGCTATTCAAACTGGGGTAAAATTTTCAAATAATATTGTCATGACTTTAAAATTCAGTAATCGATTTTAAAGCATTAAATATTTTAAATTGGAATGCTCGATCTCTTAAAGATAATGAAGACGAGCTATTTAACTTTTTGAGCGTTCATAACGTGCATATTGCCGTTATAACTGAAACGTTCCTTAAACCTGACCATAAGGTTAAGAAGGACGCAAATTATTTTATTTATAGAAATGATCGTCTTGATGGACCCTGTGGTGGCGTTGCCATCATTGTTCATAGACGAATCAAACATCAAATTCTTTCTTCATTTGAAACCAAAGTTTTGGTAACTTTGGGAGTTTCTGTTGAAACAGGATTTGGACAACTTACGTTTATAGCTGCCTATTTGCCATTCCAATGCGTAGGCCAGCAAAAGAATTTTCTCAAGGGTGACCTTCAGAAACTTACCCGTCATAGGTCTAAATTCTTCATTATTGGTGATTTTAATGCAAAACACCGCTCATGGAATAATGCTCAAAGCAATTCCAATGGTAATATTCTGTTTGATGATTGTTCTGCAGGTTATTACACTATTCAATATCCAAACAGCCCAACATGCTTTTCTTCAGCAAGAAATCCCTCCACTATTGATTTGGTCTTAACTGATTCATGTCAACTTTGTAGCCAATTGGTTACTCATGCTGACTTCGGTTCTGATCACCTTCCAGTAACTATTGAAATATCCCATGAAATAATTTGTAATCCCAACAGCTCTACTTTAAATTACCATAGAGCTGATTGGGAGCAATATCGAACATTTATGGAATATAACTTCGATCCAAACATTCCTTTGCAAACCAGAGATGAAATTAATTATGCTCTTGAATCTCTGACTACTTCTATAGTTGAAGAAAGAGCTGCCTCAGTACCAAAATGCGAGGTTAAATTCGATTCAATTATAATAGACGATGATCTTCAGCTCTTGATCCGTCTTAAAAATGTCCGTAGGAGACAATTTCAAAGAACACGCGATCCTGCCATGAAAGTTATCTGGCGGGATTTGCAAAAACAAATTAAAAAGCGATTCTCTGCCCTGAGGAACAAAACTTTTGAAAATAATATTTCTAAATTAGACCCGAGTTCCAAACCCTTTTGGAAACTCACAAAAATTTTGAAAAAACCTCAAAAGCCTATTCCAGCGCTTAACGAAGGTAGTAAAATTTTGATCACAAATTTGGAAAAAGCTCAGAAACTTGCTAAGCAATTCGAGAGTTCCCATAATTTCAGTTTGGGTCTTACTAGTCCTATTGAGAATCAGATAGCAGTTTGGATTTCGCCATGAGCATTCAACTACTCATCAACTCTTAAGAGTTACCAATTTAATTCGTTCAAACAAATCTGAAGGCCACTCAACTGGAGTTGCTCTTCTAGACATAGAAAAAGCATTCGACAGTGTTTGGCATGAAGGTTTGATTGCTAAATTGAAGAAGTTTAATTTTCCACTTTATATTATGAAATTAGTTCAAAATTATTTAACTGACAGAACTCTGAAGGTAAATTATCAAATTTCCAAATCTAATCGCCTACCTGTTAGAGCAGGAGTTCCTCAGGGTAGCATTCTTGGGCCTATATTGTATAACATTTTCACTTCGGACCTCCCTGATTTGCCTCAGGGTTGCCACAAATCTTTGTTCGCTGATGACACAGGCATTTCCGCTAAAGGAAGAAGTTTTCGTGTTATTTGCAGCAGACTGCAGAAAAGTTTAGATATTTTCTCTTCTTATTTACAAAAATGGAAGATTTCTCCCAACGCTTCCAAAACTCAACTTACAATATTTCCACACAAGCCTAGAGCTTCTTTTTTGAAACCTAGTAGTAGTCACATAGTCACTATGAACGGAGTTCCAATTTCCTGGTCAAACCAAGTGAAATATCTTGGATTAATACTTGACCATAAATTAACTTTTAAAGATCACATTGAGGGCATTCAAGCCAAATGTAACAAATATATAAAATGTTTGTATCCTCTTATAAACAGGAAATCCAAACTTTGCCTGAGGAATAAACTTCTAATATTTAAACAAGTTTTTAGACCGGCCATGCTTTACGCTGTGCCAATATGGTCTTGTTGTTGCACTACCAGGAAAAAAGCACATCAAAGGATTCAGAACAAAGTTCTGAAAATGATTTTGAAGTTGCCTCTCTGGTACAGTACTACCGAAGTACATAGAATTTCGAATGTTGAGACTTTAGAACAAATGTCCAACAAAATAATTAATAATTTCAGGCAAAAATCGTTGCAATCCTCAATTGCAGCGATTAATTCCCTTGATACTTAGATAAGATTTAGTTTTAGTTTTTAGTTTTAAGATATCAATTGTTATACTGACATGCAGGTTTAAAAAACCTGTTTAAAATACTGAATTGCCAAGACATGAACAATGTAAAAACACTTAGATATAAATCATAACAATTAAGGCTGGTACGTTACTGCAGTAACTGGAGCACCTAGGTTAAAATGAAATGTAATTTATTTTGAATTTGGAACAAATAAAGAGTTAAAAAAAAATGGAAAGAATCGATCATCGCAGTCATCTTGAGGGATGTGTGTTTCAATCTTATATGTAGTCTACCAAATCATCGAGTTTAAACTTTCTAATGTGTTACACGTTTCACGCTATCATCGCAAGACTCCTTATCAGCATGAGCTAATTTCCTTGTGGAAAATTTGAGAATTGTCACTCTTTGAAGGACCTATTTTTTTTTTATTTTGACTGATTGGTCGATTCACTTGAAATTAGGAATTTCTGATGAAAATATAGCTCTAATCATGCACAGCACAAGCAACCAATGCTCACCAACTAATACTGCAGTGTCAGTCGATAGCACCAGCTCCAGGAAGCTCCGCCGTTCCAGCTTGGTAAGATGCTGGATCAGAATGACGCTCCAATCGATGGCAAACACGGTGGCAAACGGTAGGATTGTCTTCTTCTTCTCGAACAGCAGCCCCACCAGAAAAATCGTTCCCGCCAGCACCCACACCAGCGAGAAGACCAACTGTCCCAGGGGCCGCATTCGGAAGTATGTCTCAGCATGATGCTGCTGATGCTGGTGGCCGCCACTTATCCAATCTAGAGAAGAGGGCAAAACAAACAACCGAAAAACCGATATTACGAAAACAGGTGTCAACATCAACATCGCCTGGTCTTGGTTTCGTTCGTTTGTTTTCTGTTGTCGTTTCAGATGGTGGGCCATCGGTCACGTAGTAATGGCTATTATGCTGAGATTGATTCAAAAATAGCTCACCATCGCCGCTACTACCGTCACCGTCGTCGTCGTCCAGCGTTCTGCTGATCTGGTGAAAATTGTCCACGTGGGCCACTTCCACAGCAAAGATGCAGCCGAACGTGAGGGCCGCCACTGCGATTGCGTATCCATGTGCCTTGATGTATCCACTGAAGATCCGTTCCATCGCCATGATCAAGGTCCGGAATATTCAACTCCAAGTTCAAGTTCCAAGCGGGAAAATTGCTCCACCAGGCAAGACAAGCTCCGATTTGTTCAGATTTCAACTGCTGACTGACTTTCGGTGTTTCCAAAGCATAGATAGGTGATCCCTGTGCTTGGCGCGCGCGGTCGACAGCTTGACGTAGTCGTGATGCTTGCTAGACGACGACGACGACGACGACGACGACGTCGACGGCAACGTGCACGCGCGATGCTAGTGCAAAAACCACATACGAACAACTGAATGGAGTAAACTACTGCTTGAAATGTGAGACTGTTGGTTCGAGGTGGATCACTATCAGCCGTGTTGAAGTTGGAGAGGATGGTACCAATCGCGTCATAGCTTCGGAGCCATATCAGGACAGGATGTGGCATCGGTGTGTGAAACATATCGCCGCCAAGCGGTTCGAACGTTTCATGACGTGTGTTCAAATGTAGTGATTGTAGTAAGCGCTTGTGAATGGATCAATGGCAATTTTTTGCTGGGATTTTGTTGTTTGTTTTGAAATGGCAAATATGAAAATGAGCTCTGAAATTCAACTAAGAAGAAACACATCTACAAGTCGACCACAAACTGGTTGCGTAAAATATATGCATGCACCGGTTGATGGTTTGGCCCTCGATCGACTTTTAAGTTGTAGGTAGGAAATCCCAAGATTTACGACATTCAAACTGAACGTTTAACTCATTATAATACGCAAATGATGGTTCCTGAAGGCATATCTTGCCTTTGAGCTTTACTGTAGTACTTTGAGATCATTGATGAGCCTTTCATTATCATTTAAATTAGTCACCGAAATGTCCCACTAATTCACACGCATTTTAAAATATTTCAAGTCCAAACAGTAAAGAAACAAAACCCCCGGCCATCCTGATTACGACCTATCCACTTTCGATTTCGTAGCATTTGTTTATTGACTCTCCTTCCGCCAGCATAGCAATCCTACTTGCAATGCATCATTTTGAATGACCCCCTCAAACGTCCACCCGCCCGATCCTTACGTCATGATTTTTTTTTTTTTTTTTTTTTTTTTATAACTTCGAACGATTCGCGAACGTGACGCAGCATCGCAAACTTTTCCTCTGGCAGCACCGAATTCCATGCTGTTTAGCCTTGCCCCAGCTTGGGGGAATTCCAATGACCTGTGGATCAACATTTGAATGATCTCGCTTCACCAGATACCTTAAATTGCTGCAGACGTACGGCACTCATTCGGAAGACGCGATTGAAGATAGTTGGACATATTTTGGGAGACCGATAAGGATCTAGTGGAGAATAGTATTGAAATGGATAAAACTTTGAGGTTGTTGATTAAATTGCATGGGTACTGCACGGCCGCTGCCTGTGGTGCGTTTGTAATCTGGTGGACCTGGTTTGCGCTGGACCCGGAGCAGTCGGTTGGATTCGTGAAAGGTATGGAAGACATTTTTTTTGTGTTGATTAAATGAAACAAAAGTACGGCATTGTCTTTCAGCGTACAATATCCGATACTTTGGAATACCAGCTGTGATTTTCGGCGTCATTTGGCTTCTATCCTGCCTTCTTTTGATGATCGGTATATTCGAGGTAGGTTTTTGAAAACGCTAATGAAAGTGTGAAGTATTTATCAAATCATTTCAGGAGAAGCAGTTCTTGCTGTGCCCTTTCGCGTCGATGTTTTTGATCGACTTCGGCATACTGCTAAGTCGAGATGTGTTCCTAGTGGTTAGTGAATCTGCCTTCGACAAGACAGTCTTTTTCAACGTTTCATCGTTAAGCAGAACCCATCTGCCGTTTGTGTTATGTGAGTGTCAAATTTGAAACAAGCTTGATGTAATGAAAAAAAAAAACTAATAAGTGAATCTTTCGCACAGTCATTGTACCAAACATCGCCTTCAGTTTGCTGGCATTGATGCGGATATTTCGGCACGAATCGGACTCCGAGATGGATGTGGAATTTACAGTAACTAGTTCAAAAGATTAGTCTCATACTCACCAAAACCTCGCTCATCATTTCACCAACAAGAACACACCAAGTCAATAAACTAATGTTTAAGTGTTATTGTATTCATCACCCTAGAAGTAGGGTGCACACTGCCTGCAGTATTATTTGTAAATAAATATCGCTTGTTTTTCCGGTTTTTCAACCGAACCCTGTGTTTGCTGTTTCTGAGCTCTGAATGAACGAAATGAGTGGGCAGATTTGGCTTTGCACAATTGTGCCATTGATGGAGATACATTTATTGGACCTCGCATCATTTTAGCAAGTTTAGACCGACGAGGGGGCTGTTGACCATCACGAGTGTATTTTGAACATTTACTTCGATAGGCTTTCCACTGCGTTGCGTGTGCTGTGTATGCTATACTAATTAAAAGCATTGGAAATTGGTTCACACATCAATAGAAAGGCTGAAAGAATTCTGCACTGATATCAATTATTTGCTGTGAAGAAGCAAAAAATGTCTGACGATGACAAATCATCCACCCTCATCAATATTGAAACTGCAACCCCCCCCCCTCCACATAAACAAGAATGTTAAGTGAAGTTGCTGATTTGCGCATTCCTTCACGTACCTACGTAGTGCAGAACAGGGGTCAAATTCACCCCGGGCAAAACGCCCGATTTGGTTTTTCATAGCTATTTCACTCTTATTGTCAAAATGCTAGTTCAAGTACTGAACTAGCCCTAATGAATTAAGCCTCACTCGAACTGAGACTGTCTCCGAGAAGATGAAGTAATGGTCTGCGGGCATGTTGGAAATCATCCCCAATGCGAAGCTGCCAGCTCAGCAACAACATAAGAACAGGAACAAGGTTCCTAAAGTTTGCGGAAGGCGCTAGAGTTTTCAGTGAAGACACCGAAGCCAGTGGTTCCATTGAGACGGGACCCGTCTGTAAAATATATTTTCATGCAATGGACGTGTTGGTACTTTTCACTAAAAATACTACGCGGGATAATAATGTGTCGAAGTTCATCGGGAATCCCATGAGTTGCTTGTTTCACGGTCAGATCGTATTCAATTGAGGATCTGCTAGTGGTGAAGTGAGCACGGTCTAGAGTATAACAAGGAAGACACAAATCAGACGATATGTAGTGGTGGTAGATTCTTATAAATCGAGGTTGTGAATTCAGCCCAAGAATTTCTTCAAAATTTGCAATTATAAGTGTGTTCGTCACTCCACATTTGATAAGTATTCTGAGAGAGTGCTCCCAGAAACGGTTCTGGAGAAATGTTACTCCTGCCAGAACCTCGAAACTCATGTTTTGCGTTAAGTGCAATACGCAGACAACGATATTGAATTCGTTCCAATTTTATTAGGTGACTTTTTCCTGCCGAGAGAAAGCAGAAAGAGCCGTGCTATAAAACACAGAGAATAGTTGTTTAATAAAGTGGTCTCCTGGATGAGTACCCCACCATGTGCCGCAAATTGAACGGAGAAAGTTGATCCTTAGTATTCCAAGTGCACATTGAATCAAACCAGACCCCAAAGTACTTGAAAGACAATGATTGAGTAATGTATTTGACCAAAAGATTATGCTGCATTTGGGATGGGTACCACTTTCGAGTGAACACTACCACTTCAGGTTTCTGCGGCGAGAATTCGATCCCTAGATTCCTAGCCCAAGAAGACAAGTTATCTAAGGAACTTTACAATGGTCCTTGCAAAGTCCACGGCATTTGGACCTCTTACGTAAATCACACCGTCATCTGCAAGTTGTCTTAGCGTGCATTGTTCTGCCAAACAATTGTCGATATATTTGACATAAAATTTACAAAGAAGAGAGCTGAGAAATGAGCCTTGCATTAATTAATTAATTCATTTTGGAAGTTGTTAGTTGTCGAAGAGAAAAGTTCATTTGCTTTTCTGACAACAAATTGTACAAGAAATTATTTAAAATTCCAGAAAGTCCACATCTGTGCAGATTTTCTGTCACAATCAGCCCCCTTAACGTCCAAGAATACTGAAGCGAAATCTCGCGTCACTTTTCAATTGGTCCTATCTACATTGATCGATTCTCTTCATCGACCTTCTCTTTGGATCACCACGGCCGTGTTAAAATATTTCCGGATAATTTCGACACACATATCGATGGAAAAGCATAAATCTAATATCCAATAAGACAAAGGCGACAGGAAACGTTTGTGTAGCCGAGTTGTTAACGGAAGAGAGAAAAGTGACGCGAGAATTGCTCCTGGTGCGCAAAGGCCAGTTGAATATCTGTGGAAATCAGCGCTATACAATCGCTTGTTCCTTTGCTCTTGCGGAACTCAAACTGTGTATTTGATTGCAAGTTATTTGATTCATCCCAGTGATCATGTCTTCGAAGGGTCATTTTCTCCAACAATTTCCTAATGCACGATTGCAATCGGTTGGTGTGAGTCAGTGTTGGCAAAAACATAAATAAATTGATATTTTTCCGCTCTCATGCGATCGCAATATCACGCGTGATATTGGAACAAATATCATGCTTGATATTGATTTAACAAGCTCCTTTGATATTGCTAGACTATTCACAACGTGCAAAAATCAAGCTGAGAGTTGACTCGACACAAAAATGCTTCCATTGCACATCGTTTTCTTAGAAAGAGAAAGCATAGTTTGCTATCTATTTTTAATCTTCACCGATGGCAGACGCGAAGGGACTGCTGCAAGCCGTTATGGAAGTTTCGGTTGCATTCGGGTCTAAAGCAAAAATCATGAAACTCAATCTCACCACAGTTTGGTGAGATTTGCAGTTGGTGAGTTTTGTTAGCTTGATATACCGAGCTGCGATATCACAGCTTGCAAAATCAACCGCAGTTGTTTGCTTGTTGATTTTTGTCTACGAAAATCAAGCGTGATCTTGGGCGTTGGTGAGATTTGATTTTTTGATATTTTCCCAACACTGGTGTGAGTTATGGTCAGACACTGGTTTGCCAGGTTTTTGAATGGCTATTACTATTGCTCCATTTAGGCGGTTTAATGTCATTTCCTAGTAAGGAATTGAATAAGGTCTATACCCACATTAATTTGGACACCTTCAAGTCACTGTAAGCTTTTGAAATATTGCACGCAGAAGTAAACAAAATTCACTGAGGTATAGCTGAGAGTCATAGATGAAAAAGACTATGATTGGTGTTTACATTCCATGTTCAGTGTTCAAGATGGCGACGAGTGAAAAACACGTGCGTGAGCAGATTTTGTACGGACATAATGCAAATCCTGACCTGTCATTTTCGGAACGTTTGACGGTCGAGAGGAAACCAAGAAGTGATTTAAACATTGATTTAAACTGTGGGATACACCCTGAGCATAGTTAAATGCTCACCTTTCGGTGAGCTGTCAATTGACGCTGGCAGGACCAAAAGAAATACAATATCTGGCAACACTGTTCTCATCGTCGTTGGTTGGCCTCACCGTTATTCTTCCTCTTTCTCCAACTGGCCATCAGACAGGCAAGACGTGGTTAGCGGTCCTCCGTTGTCGCGGGACAATTCATGCGTGTGGTCAACGAGCGGAACTTCACAATGGCGATCCTGCCAGGATAGTTGCTACCTAGCAACTGCAAGGTGAACGAAATTGGATAACGCATGAGTTTTCCAACAAGGCGGAGTAAGAAAGTGTAGAAACAGTGGAAAAAATGAAACCTGAAGCTGTCTGAAGTCTACTCTGAAGACAAGAGTCTGCAACAAGCTGGGACGCCTAGTTTAGACAAGTGGTTCGGGACGGCCAATATTTGCCACGGTTTGGGACACCCGGTGGAAAGACTAGCTTCCAATCCTCGGTCACGGAGTGAGACACCCGGTAGAAGGATTCGAATAAATAGCGAGGTGAGACAATATTAGTGAGTGGTGTGGGACACCTACTCGAATGCATATTTGTCATGGAGAGGGACATCCAGTGAAAAGATCAATGTTAAACCTTAGCCGCGGAGTGGGACACTCGACTAAAGATTAGCTTAGAGCGAAACGGAACGTTCTTAAATTGTATTTGCCACTGCGTGGGAGGTTCGTAATAATCATTGCCGTCGAGTGGGACGCTGTACGGAGTGATCGATATAGTTTTCTGCACGATGGTGAGACGCCCCTGAGAAAAGCAATACTCTTCCTAAAATAAGAAGCATGCAGTTTTGCAGTATTGCGGAAATACGTCAGAGCTACATCGAATAGAGGTGATGAAGATGAAATCTCATCTTATCATTCATACTCTAAAGAAGCAGAGTAAAAGGACATTTCGAGCGGCGAGGAAGGATCCGATGGAACTGAAGGAGTTCCAGCTCAGGTTGTGATAGCGCGTTAACTTCCGACGGAGTTTCTCGTTGCAACGGTTTAGGAAAACGCAAACGAGACTGAAAACACGACCCCTTTACGGGGACCATATACCGGCACGAATTCAAGTTGCGGGAATGGTTTGAAGGCGGTGACTGCTACCCCAGGTGAGCCTTTCGACACGAGCGCCAGACTGGACGTTTTGCAGATGCCACTGATTTACTTGGCACAGATAGTTCATGAGAAGATAACCGCGGAACAAGATCCTCTCACTGTGGACCAAGTGAGCAAGCCTCCCCTACAGTAGCCATGATTAATCCACCTGTCCGGTTTGCCAACATTCTGCGTTTCCCGAAGGCTGTGAAAGTAACAAGCATGTTGAAGGCATTCACCAGATATCTCGTGAAGTTCGAAATTGCAATCTCCCTCAATGCTGTGACAAACTCTGCCCAGCAGGCCCAATTGCTCTACTTGGCCCTTGGAAATGATCCGCGCCGCAGACCTCCGTCCAAATCTAGCAGATCCAGACTGCTACAGACGGATGGTAGGTAACATTTCAAGCTACTTCCGCGCGATGACGGACGTCAGTCCTAAGCACGACAAATTTACTGCCATGAAACAGGAACGTGGAGAATCAACGGTAACGTTCCATTGCCAGATTGGTGTCGCAAGTCCGATTGTGGAAATACATCGAAGAGTTTATCAGCGCTTGTTTCTCGCATAAATTTACATGAATTTTTCGAACGGTGTAACGTGCCCGCAGCATTCCGAGAAGGAGAAAAGTTTCAGCTCCAAGAAACGGAGAAGAGAGGTATCATCGAGGGGGTGACAATATCTACGATGAAGGAAATTTTTTGTTTTGCTGTGGTTAGCTGCGCGCACCCTTAATAACTAGAACGAAGATTGATGATAATTCTGAAGATTTCCTGCAAAAATATGAAGAAGTACGATGCAAATAGATGCGGGAAATGAAAGAAGATTTTTCGTAGATTGATTCGCTAGTGTGAGATTTTTCGAGCATCTAGAATTAAGATTTAGATGTAACGCCCCCTCGGGTATCATAGAAAAGTGACCTCAGCACCGGGATGGATAAGCGGGATGTCAGCAGTTGCGAAGGGCAAGGACAACTTCAAATTAGTTGTGAATATGCGAGGTTCAAACAAGACCATAAAACGAAAATACTTCGGGTTGCCATTACTCCACAAAATGAAAGTGAAGCTAAATGGGGCAACATTTTTCATCAAGCTAGACTTATCCAGCGCTTACTATCACCTCGAGTCGGCTGAGTTTTTTTTAAAACACGGCTGTTACTATTGATAGAGAGGTTGATTACATATATAAATGTATTTACTATTGTTTGCTACTCATGGACTCTAGACTACTTATTATTTTTTTTTAGAGAAGAAGTGGGATGTGGGATACACCCTGAGCATAGTTAAATGCTCACCTTTCGGTGAGCTGTCAATTGACGCTGGCAGAACCAAAAGAAATACAATATCTGGCAACACTGTTCTCATCGTCGTTGGTTGGCCTCACCATCATTCTTCCTCTTTCTCCAACTGGCCATCAGACAGTCAAGACGTGGTTAGCGGTCCTCCGTTGTAGCGGGACAATTCATGCGTGTGGTCAACGAGCGGAACTTCACAGGACCGAAAGGTGAAGAGGATATTGAAGGAAAATCCGAATCCCTCTGTTCGAACGGTGGCTCTCAAAATTGAAATGCCACCTGGTTTTGTTCAAAAATCAAAACTGCGTTTGGGGCTGAAGTCGTGTAAAGTAAAAACAGTTCCAAATTGCAACGACAAACAGAATTTGACAACAAAATCACGGACTCGACGTTTGTTTTGAGAATATTTGACGAAGTTTTCATGCGTTGTTATGGACGATGAAACTTATGTCCTGGAATATTTCAAGCAGCTTCCAGGGCTGGCTTTCTATTTTGCTATGGCCAAAAATGCTACAGCTGAGTATTTCAAGACGAGGAAGCCATCGAAATTTCCCAAAAAAATACCTTATTTGGCATGCAATTTGCACGTGTGGTCGAAAGAGTAAATCTTACGTCACTACAGGCGCAATCAACAAGGAGATTTACCAGAAAGAGTGCCTGCAGAAACGATAGGCCTTTTTAGTGCACCAGTGCGCCACGCGAGTTCCAGAGGAAACATCAACCAAACCGTTTGTTGACAGCAAATTAAAGATTGGTCACAACGCATATTAGAGCATTTTTCATCGAACATCTTACCAATTTCCATCGGTAATTGTCAAATTGTACGAACTTCCCGAGGGGGGCTATCTACGATGCAAAACAGATTGTGTTTTGCTATGGCTAGCTGCGCGCACGCTGAGTAGATAGAAAGAAGATTCATGACGATTCTGAAGATTTCCTGCAAAAAGATGATGAGCGATGCAAGTAGATGCGACAAATGAAAGAAGATTTTTCGAAGATTGATTCGCTAGTGTGAGATTTGTTGAGCTTCTAAACTTGAGATTTAGATGTGTTGCCCCCCTCTGATTTTCCACAGATCTGAACTGATATGCACCTAAACTATTCACTCGCAAGAAATCCGGAAGATCATAACCTCTAAGACACTATTCTAATTTTCCATTTTTCTCAACAAAAATATTCCAGAACACCAGCAGGATCCTTGCAAAAATGATGCAGAATTAAATTTTTCAACTGTAGATCAAGTTTTGGAGCATCTCAGCTGAGTAAATTTATCAGGAAAAGTGAAAAATTGTCCCGCTTCCTATGCCTCATGGCAGAAATTTCTGCTCACAACACTCTTTTTGACGTTCTCCTATTCACCACCAGAGATTGAATCGATCACTTAGTTTCTATTAAAAAGGCATATTGCTACCCTTCATCAAAAGCCACAAAGAAAACCCTTGGTTCTGACCTGATTTGGCATCATGCATCAAGTTTTGTTTTGTAATTTGGATGCAATTTTTTGGTATTATTCTTTGGTATTGGTATTTGGTCATGCTGATCAATACCAAATTTAGGTATCAGATCAGAATTAGGTATTCATTAGTTATTTTCTCCTGCTCGGGTTCCAAAAACTGTGGACAAAGACGGCCACAACGGTATCTGAGGAGTCTGTACAAACCCTAATGGATGGAGTTTCCGGATGCAAATTCCGAATAACTATGTTTTGACTTCGTGAATTTTTAAATCATATCCCATAAACGTGATATAAACATCTACAATTGAAACGCGAAATTTGTGTTTTACTTGAGGTGATTCCTTGTAGAGTCCACAAATGGCCGCCATGTAGGTTATACATGTACTTCCACTTCGAAATTTCAATTACACAAATCTCGGAAATCAGTGCTCTGATTTTTTCCCATGGTTATTAGCTTGAAGTAAATAGATTTTCGGTGCTTATTAACATTGGCGCATCAAATTCTGGCACAAACTTTACCGGATCACACCAATTTTGATTAATCAGCATTATGAACCAGCCCATATGTAAACAGGCCATGACGATAGATCGTGAAGAACTATGGATCATTATGGACGAGAAAAGTGTTCCCGGAATACGGACCAGACACTGATCAAGGCCGACTGATTACTGTGAAATTTCTTTTTCTTAAAGTCAAAAACATTTTCAAGAAATTTTTGAAAAATTCTTGGGATTCAATTTACAATTTATCTCCGTTTCTTCATTTTTAAATTGTATTTGTTTTTGCAGGGAATTTTCAGCTTTAGATTTGTAATGTTTACCCAAAGTCCTCAATGGCAAGTTCACTACTTTTAAGATTCCATCAAACATCCACAGACATCCCCATCACCATGCAACATCTACGAATCAAAACAAACGCTGTCTGCAACACAAAACGCCGCGCAGGCGCAACAAAGCAGTGAGACTCTCCCCTCTGCTTCTCTCCGGTTAGTCACAGCACTTGCCTGCGAAGAGAAGCCCGCGTGCGTGGGTTTGAAGAGAGCGAGAGAATGCATTCGAAATTAGAACAGAAAAGTGAGAAAGAGATCGAACTGTCAAACGTTCTCCCAATATAGCAGGCAAGACGATCCGAGAGTGCCGCTGAATCAAGTGGAAGTTGGAAATACTCCGACGCAGAAATATTTTGTCAGCTGTGAAAAGGATTCTAGTCAGAGAGTGTTGTTTATGTGGTGTCTCATCGTCAGAAAATGGATAAATTTCTACGGATATTCATCAAATTTCACGGCTATTGCATTGCTATTGTAAGCAGCATTCTGACCATATTGTTCACGGGCATACTGTCCTCCAATGCCGAGTCACACATACAATGGGAAGACTGTGAGTAGCCATTCAGTGACTTCTTTTCCGTACAAAGTGGATAATTTCGTTTGTTTTGCATCCGTCGTCAGTCGTGGATTTACGCTTCACAGGAATACCGGTTCTGATTTTCGGAATCACTTGGATGGTCGCCAACAGCCTGTTAATAATCGGAATCTTTAAGGTACGGACGCTTGTTTGTTTATGTTTAAGAATTATTTTAAAACAAATGTACATTTGCAGGAAACAAAAGTTTTCCTCTACCCATTTTGCATTCTGTTTGTGATTGAACTATTCCTAATGCTAATTAGAGATCTCTTTCTGGTGATAACGCTGGATCAATGGTACCGGACAGCGTTTTTCAACATCACACTGCCGTTTTTCCTCTGTAAGTATTCAATGACCAACACGTGCAAACAAACATGAATAATGATTCCCTTTTCTCGATATCTATTGACAGTCGTTATACCGTACGTCACGATGAGCATGTTTGCGTTGATGAGATTGTTTGACATAGATCCCATCAACCGGGCGGAGGACAACTTCGTGCGATTCGATCGAAGTGCAGCTGAAGATGTTGATAGGGTGACCATCAGGCGTTAAGGAGGGTGATCTAGCGTATTTTGCCTACCGGTGCTAGCGGCTTGCATGTTTTAACTAGGGGGTAGGTTTTTATCTGATTTACAACAATAATGAACTTCTGAGACTGGAAAACAGAAGACAGTTTTCTGTTTGGAGTGAAGGAATCTAATGTCAAGATATACACACTTAGAAATTTTCGCCGACTTCGGTAATTTTTACCGAAATCTGAACAGCTGAACTGTTCGGTAACATTTATGCAATTTAATTCAATTGCTTTTCAGTTACTTTGAAACTAAATCTACACTAAAATGATAAGATTTGATCGTTTGAACAAGGTTGAACATGTTTTGAAATTACTTTTTTAATTCAATGGACTTTAAAATGAAGGTCAAAGTTTTACCGAACGTTCAGCTGTCCTGATTTCGGTAAAATTTATCGAACACGAAAACAAAATCTTAGTGTGTATATATAAAAAAGCAGGGAATTAATGGAAACAGAAGGTTTAAAGTTTGAAAAGAAGCTTTAGCGAGTATGGTGAATTGAAATTACTTTAATGCTCAGGAATCTGTTTTAATCTTTATATTGTTCATTATGATTTAAATAGTTTTCGATTCTGTAAAATGTTGAACTTACTAAAATACGTGAAAATAATTTGATGTTATATACCACCACATACTGAACTTGTATGTTGACATAAGAGAGCCTGAATCAAAATTTAAAAATATTGGTAGGTTAATATAGGTGAAAGTATTTCTCAGCAATATTTCCAATCGTCCCTCAGTCATTCAATTTTTGGAACACTTTCAGATTTGCCTATCAACTTTTGATCAACTAGATCATTCAAGAAATATCTCTCAAACTTCATTTGAATTGTTTATCACTTTCCGGTCATCACTCAGAGTGGTCTTGGACCGGAAGCTGAGTTTCATCCCTTATTTTAACAATCTATTCTAGTTACAATTAAGTTACACCAACTTATTATGATGGAAGTGTATTGCTTGGGTACTAACTTCATTACCGCATGGCTAGCCCCTACCTATAATTAAGCCATCCACATTGCAGCTGGGTTTGAACCGTCCACTTCTTTGGACTCATCACGTGTCAAATTCGGGGACCTGCCTTTCTGGTCGATGAGACCATTGGGAGCAGAACAATGCAGACCACTGGCAATGAACTCTGTCTCTTCAGGGAGGGGAATAGAATTCTAAGGAGTCTGGTTAACCGTCAGTGTCGAGACCCCACTGGATCGGATCCAGGGGATGGGCAGAGCCAAGTTTCTACTTTGACCACTTGGTTCGCAAACGATTCTAGAAGGTCTGCTAAGCAAGACTTCGGGAAGATTCGGCCTTGGAATGAAATACTACTACTTCCGAGAAACTGACTAGTGCTCTGTATTTAGCATCTACGCCGCTACCATGCACGCTAGTAAACCACTCTCAGATTCCGGAAGTGTCCAATCTGCATTGGAATCCCACACATCCAGACAACCTTTGGATCCAGGGGATCCATAAGGAAGCCCGTTACATACTACCTTCCTATGGACCCCTGGGCACTGTGACATCTGGGGAAACTCTGTGTAGTATATATGATAAGGTAGTAATGAATTAAACATAATTTTACCGCTAATTAGTTTGATGTCAGCTAAATGCATTTGGCAGCACTAGAAGTCGAAATTTATGAAATAGCAGATACGTGTATTCGGAGCTTTCCGAAATCATGTTCGATCACTCTTGCGTGTATCTGTCAGTTTGCTATTTCATAAATGTCGACTTCTAGTGCTGCCAAATGCATTTTGCTGACATCAAACTAATTAGCGGTAAATTTATGTTTAATTCATTACTACCTTATCATATATACTACACTCTGAAGCGTATCATCTTGCGGCTAACGGTCGATCTGGTCGATATGTCACTAAAACCGTGGGCCAAGTGTCTGCATTCTCCAATCCGATAAGACCAACTGATCCTTCTACTCTGGACACACTTGTGCAGCCTACAACATGGGGAGTGCGACCTCGTTTGGAAAAAGAATGCGATGCCTGTGAATTACTTAGTTCTCCATGGGATCAGGGACCTTCATGTGAGCCAGCATTAAGACGCACTGGCCAGAGACGCTTCAACTGAAGCAGCTGTTTTATTCATCTTCAAATACACCCACTTGTGTAATAACATCTGACACACCGCACCGATAAGAACCATCCTTATCTGACCCATTGACCACCGATCCAGGACCTACTTCTACTGAATTCATCACCATGATACATTACCGACCAAATTTACCGAACCAGGGTTGTCTATTTTATGGGGCCTCTCTTAGCTCAGTCGGTAAAGGCGCAGCTACAAAGTAAGCTACCGGGGAACATTTTACGTAATTTTGGAATAAATTAGGAAGAAACTTTCGTTCCGAGTGATAAAAGCTTCCGGGTCAAAATCGGAAGATACTTCCGTGAAAAAATCAAATGATCCTTTCCGGAGAAGCCGGGAGAAACTGCCGGGAGATCGATAGAAACTTGCGGGACAAGAAAACATCCATTTTCGGAGGAAGTTGGAAGAGATATCTAGGAAAAGTTGTAAGGAATTTCCCGGGGAACTCTGAAAACTCATCACGTGGAAGACGGCGGACACTTCTCAAAAAATTCTGGGAAAGCCGGAAGAATGTTTCAGGAGAAGTCAGAAGAGTATTCCGGGGGAAGTTAGAAAAAGTTTCCACTACTGGACTTGTGGAAATATCGACTTATGGAGAGTTCGATAAATGGAAAAATAAAGAGACCGCTGAATCCATCGAGTTATAGAATATCGATTTGTGAAGAGTATGTTGCATAGACTAGGTACGTCATATGATTATCAGCAAAGGATCCAGTATTTGGTCCATAACCACACTGTTTGCTCACTATAGTTTTTCCTCTGAGTAAAAGAGATAGCAACGAATGATAATATGGTATGATATGGAACTTCCACTCATTGCAGCAAGACAACTGTCGGTAGCATATGGACTTTCCTCGCTGTTTGACTTGATCAAGTTTAATGACCTCTAATTGCATTCAGCCTGCCATTGTATGAAGGGCCAAAAGCCGTTTGGGTGAATCCGTGGGCAACATCGCCCACCTGCATCCACGGGATAAATGATAATCTCCTTTCAACAACAGGATCATACAACCCGTCAAAAAACAGGCCATCCAACAGAAGAATGCCCAAATGAGTGGGGAGAAGAGCCCGCCCTCTTGTTACGAAATGCTAAAGACAGCAAATGCTAAAGTTAGCATTTCCACTCTCCCCATCCATTTTGCTTCGATCGGGTATCCTGATGCTAGATGGATAAAAAACAAACAAAATATACGGGTTGATTTGGACAGATTTGGACCTGTTTCATACGACCAGAAGGTGCCTTGAAAAATTGATCTGTTGGAGTGTTGATTATAGCAAAACTTGTCATATCGTCTTAGTTCATTTTAGTAAACAAACTATCACTTCTTCCTTCTATGGCACCTTTGATTGTCTGTCTTGTACACAGAGCACGGCACGAGCTGAACTGCTAACGTTGAAAGTCAAACGAACTGTAAAAGAGATAGCAACACGAACATCAACCTCAAGTCACGATTTTCGGAACAAGTAAATTTTTCGTTTACGAAAATACACCATGAATAAAAATCATGAAATGGCAAACATTGTTCCGCAAAATAAACGTAACGCCTGCGCTTCGTTACACCGGGCACCAGCAAAGGAAACCAAAGTCATAGAAACGTGAACTTTGTTCTGAAAATCATGATCTTGTTCTGGTAAACGTGATTAAAGTTCATGAGAGATGTACTAACTATCGTGAAATAGCGGCGCCGGTGGTGTAGTGGTAAGCGTGATTGCCTCTCACCCCAGCAGGCCTGGGTTCAATCCCAGGGAAGTAAAGCCGTTGGTCCCCGGTTCATGAGTTGATGGGTCGATAGGTAGGGTCCAGGTGTGGGAGCTGCCTTCCTGGCGTCGGTAGCATTGGTGCCCAGCACGGAAAACAAGATCGACGGAAAACAAATCCAAGGAAAAAAAAAAAAAAAAAAAAACTATCGTGAACCTGTTCTTGCAATGGGAACTTGGTTCATGAACTATAAAACATCAACGTTAAAATAATTGATTGGATTGTACAGCATGGAAATGGAAGGAAACTGAAAGCGACGGTAGCCTTGGCTGGAACAACGGAACAATGCAGGTTTCCCCCATGCCTCAAATTGGCAGCAAACATCTGTCCAGCAGATGAAGTGGACACACTTTCAGCTCATTAACCCCACCTTCATCATCATCATAACAAGCAAAAAGCACTGATCATATCCCCACCGATGCAAGCCGCATCGGTGCTTGCTCCCCCCTCGAACTCCCACGGTCTCTGAGGCAATCTTCAATGTTTTCTCCACAAACTGGTGCCGCTTTGTCGCTTTGGAACAGGACGTTCACTGGTTTACCCTTTTCTTCGATGATTTCGGCCAACTTGATGAACTCCACCACCATTCTGATGATATAGACCTGTGCACGGGTGAACTTTAGTTCATCTCCTGAAATTTTTTTGACACAACAGCGGGGCCGTGTCTACTAAAAATGACCACATGAATAATGCTCGCGTAACATTTGAAAAGGCCCTATCAACTATTGTAAATAATTTGCTAGGTCCTTTTCACGAGAACCGAAGTACGCCCACGCAAACCAAGAGCACTATCGGGAAGGGGAGAATGTCCTCTGCCCGATGGTGTTGTTAGTTTGCGTGAGCGTATACGGTTCGCGCGAAAAAGGCTCAACAAGTTTTGTGTACATAAGTTGATAGACCCGTTTCAAATGTTACGTGAGTATTATTCATGTGTTCATTTTTAGTAAACAGGGCTCCGCTGTTGTGTCACTTTTTTGTCGAGTGAGTGAACTCAAATCCATCCGTGCACTCGTCTATGGCGCAGCTGAATGCACTAATCTAGATAGAGCTGGAATTAGGGCCTAACAGCGTTTGTAAACAATGACTTCTCTTGATGATTTTCTCAGCAGAGCAATTTCGGAGCGAGAAACCAAACGCGTGTCTACTGTTAGGCCGTTCGCAATGCTGTTTTATTTTATAAGGACTGTTTCAATTTGAAACTAGAACAGAAATGCACCTCTCGCAATGCTGAGTTGCAGTTTCATTATTCGAGCACTATTTTGCACCAGATTTGCAACTGCTCGACTATTCTGTTTTATTTCTGAGCGAGTTTGAAACACGATTCGAACTCTGTTTCAAATTTCTTTGGATGTGTTAAAGATGTTTCGAAGAGCTTCACAAACAAAGAACGGAGAACTTCATAGAGAACAGTAAAGTTTATGGAACTTGATGATTACAAACATCTTTTAGAACTGTGCGTTGCGCTGATCGTGTTGCAGTTTTATTTTTGACAGTTTCAAATTATAGAATTGTCAAGTCGTTTAAAACAATTTTGAAACTCAGCATTGCGAACGGCCTTAGGAATACAAACTAGAATGATGTTTATTGACATTTCTCTTTTACGCAACACAAAGTACAAGGTATGTTGCACAGCAGGTATAGATTACACTTTAATCGAAGAGTAGGTGAATGGTTTATTTATTACCCTCAACAGATTTCTAGAAATTCAAGGCTCACTCACGCAAACCAACATCCTCATCGGGTAGGAAATGACTTCCACTATCCGATGGTTAGGTTGGTCTGCGTGAACGTGCCTTGAATTCCTAGAAAACATCAATAGAAGTCATTGTTTACAAAAGCTGTTACGCCCTAATTCCAGCTCTATCTAGTAATAAGCAAGATACTATTATCGATGAATCCGAGCACTCAGTAGGGATAAGTTTGACAACAACCTGAAGATGACAGCTGCAGGCTTTGCATGTGATCCAAGTTCACGATTGCAACGAACGAAAATCACAATTCAAGAACAACATGTGAAAAGGACATACAAGCTTTTTGTAAACAAACCTTCTTATGCCTTTTTCTCACTACTCATATGATACCAACGCAAACCATCAACATCACCGGATAGGGGAAGCTTTCCCCTTCCCGATGATGAGTTTTCGTGAGGGACCCTCGGTTGGCGAGAAAAGAGCCTACAAAGGTTTGTTTACAAACATCTTGTATGCCTTTTTCACATGTGGCTCTTGAATTATGCACTCAAAAAATTTCACACGTTTGATCGAAGTGTTTAAACACTTGATTTTTTAAATGCAGAATCACATTTACTTTAAGTGTATTTCACCTTGGTTCGATGTGTTATACTTGTTAATTTAGAGTGTTTCAAACTTTGAATTGTTGAAAAAATTTCACTTTCTATTCAAGTGTATTGCACATTGAATCACGCTACTGTTCAAAACAGATGGATTTAAAGTGTTTTGAATTTCAATACGATGTGAATTGCTTGCTCAGAAAGGTAAACATCGAAAACAAGAGTTGTGACTTTATCCTATTAACCCGCCTCATATATGAGAACAACCCTGGCACAGTGAGATAGAACGAAGACTCCGGCAGCAGCACACCCCAACAGTCCATGATCGAATCCCAAATCAGACCCATTAAAAAGATATGGGATAGCTCTGGCCTCTGGCAGTTTTGATTATATATTTGTCGTTTCAATTTTTTCGTGTCGGTAAAGTAGAAGTCAATAAAGTAGAATATTGTAGAATATTGAACTATGGTGTGCAAAGCTATTGATATCACCATATGAGACACATAGAATCCAAGTGTGTCACAATTCAAATCCATAGTGTTCAGGCATGGTTCATAGCATAAGATTCACACATGAAATGGATGTGTTTCACAATAAGCGCAAAATTAAGTGTGAGACACATGATGATGGCGTGTGGAATTTTTTGAGTGTGGGTTCATGGTATCACGAAATCATGATTTTTTTGCTTAAGCTGGGTTTAGACAGAGCAAGTCAATTGATCAAGTCAGTTGAATTCAACTGACTTGAACTCGAATTGAACGTGTAAACCATGCCATTCAGCTGACTTGATCAACTCACTTAAATTGAAAAAAATTGAACCAGGCTCAACTTTTCAAGCCAATTGAATTCAACTGAGTTGATCATTTGACTTGCCCAGTCTAAACCCAGCTTGAGCGTTACGAAACTGCTAGTCGCGCTGAATAGGAGTGAACTAAGTTCACGGATTTGAGATTAAATTCATGAAAATTCGATTTTCTCTATCACGTTTATGGGAACTAAATCATGAATTCGAATGAACTTGTACACGAAACGAAAACATCCGCAAAACATCGACTGATTTTAGTATTGCTCGAGCCCTTTAACAATATGCTGTCGAATTTCGGATGATTTCCTTATGGTTGAATTCGTCATTAACTGATGACCATTCATATGGCTGTCCTCCAAATAAAGGATGATATTTATTTGAAAATTGGCTGTAGAACATACTGGGCTCAGAGGACAACAATTTGAGGATTTGATGATTTGCAAATGTTTTAGATTAGATTATAAATTCGATTGTTCACATTTCCATATTGAATAGCCATGAACAGCCATTCATCATGGATACAAATAATATTTGTTGGTAGCGGAAATTTCCTCCACCACGAAGAAACAAATCTCCGGTTTCCACGCTTTATCAATGTTCGGACCACTTCTGATAGTGATGGCATGCTTCCACCTCGTTTGTCTACTCAAAGCAGCAAATGACGTGCGATAGAATTATTTACATCATAGTTTTGAATGATTTGCGTTAAGATTCAACAAACCATCATTGAATTTTCAATCATCGGAAGCAGTTTTTTGTTCAAATTCAAAATTCTGCCAATGAAAATGTCATCACTGTGTTCCGGTAGGCCAGTAGAATGCAATGATGACATTTTCGTTGGCAGAATTTTGAATTTGAATGAAAAAACTGCTTTTCATTTTTTGATGATGATTGGAAAAACAATGATGGTTTGTTGAACCTTAAGGGGCTGAACCAATACCAAATGCATTTCAATTTAAGATGACTATCATTCTGCAGAGAACATTACGGATTCCAACTGAAGGCTGGCTATCCCTTCTCATAACAATGTTCATCCTGTATTCGAGAGGAAAATCATTTGATTGCGTCATCCGGTTGCAGCGACCATTCAAAAAGGCGATTTCGATGTTTCGATTTGAATGGTCCGAGCTTTCATTCGAACAGAGGACGGTGGTTTGGTACAGTGTAGATCAGTTTATCGTGATTCACGAATAATAATCTTCGATGACTGATCTAATCTATACAGATCTCTTAAACCATAACTTGGCTATTTCAAAGGGGAATTGTGGATAAATCGGTGTCAACATTTCAAAAAGGGTGAAATTGCTTTTGTAAACAATGGCACCATCAGGTAGAGGAGTGATGCCTCTACCATGTGGCATTGTTAATTTGCAGGTGTGAACTTAAATTTTCGTGAAATCGGTGGTTGAAGTCATTGTTTACAAAAGCAGAATGAGAACTACCCAAAATTGAGTTGAGTTCACATAAAATGCAGGAACTCAGCGGTGAGTGAATTTTCCTCATGATTTCCTGTGGAAAACCTCAAAAATCTTCCGGAAAATGAGAAAAATTGACGAAAATTTTACTCAGTTTAGGAGTATTACCAATACACTGAGTCAATCCAATTTTTAATTTTCTCATATTCGGGAGGTTTTTCATGAATAATTCTGGAAAAACCTGGAAAACACAAGACAAATCTACTCATCGCTGAGTTCCTACACTTTTTGTGTTTTATGGGTTCACATGGGCTTATGGGCTATAACATTTTTTTTTGTTTCTTTAGAGACTTTCAGCCGTAGGCTATTAGCTTGCTTTTTCAAGAAAGTATTTATGCAGCAATTAATAAGATATGATCCAAACATGGCCCGGTTGGTCGTTCCCAGGGATGGAAAATCATTTACATTAATTTCGTGCATTCATTTACATTCATTTGCCTCTAACTTTTTTCATCAACAGAATTCCGTAAAATAGTGTTTGAAGCTTTTGTAGGTTTTCATATTAGCTTCACTTTTGTAAACAACTCAAATCGGTATCTCTTATGCATGATGAATCTGTTCGATAAGAACCCACCATTGTTTTTCAGTGAATGTAAACTGCATTCACTGAAAAACAATAAAATGTTCTGCCAGCTCTAGTTCGTCATGCATAAGAGATTCAGATTTTAATTATTTACAAAAGTTGTAGTTAATATCAAAAGCTAAAAAAGCTTCATACATCATTTTACGGTATTCTGTTGATGGAAAAAGTTACAGGCAAATTAATGTAAATGAATGCCCGAAATGAATGTAAATGATTTTCTATCCCTGGTCGTTCCTAAAGGTTTAAGAAAGTTAAAGACTTCTGGATATGAGGACAGTTTAGTGTGGGGAGAGTGTTCAAGGTCCATACAAAATTGTAAAATATTATGGATGACGAAAACTGTTCACGTATGTGGATGACTTCTAAAAGAATATGCTGTTGAGATCGTAGTCTCGTAATGCGCGTAATCTCTTTGTTTGTAAGTGATTATGAAAAAAATAGCCCATAAATGACTAAGATTGCTAAAAGTTGCAAATCTAAGAACAAAACAAAATGCATTGGATTGATATGTTTTTGTATGACTAAAAAAAAGTTTAGCACTGTTTTTTGAGCGGAATATTGCCAGTTTGATAATAATTTTCACTAGTTTCTACCGTTAGATAGTTAATTTTAATAAAACTATGCAATCAAATCCAATGATACAAACCCGTTAATTCCCAAACTCAATGAACAATTTTTCTAAAACATCAAGAGAAATTAACAGTCCAGGCCAAGTTACTCATTAAATCGAAATATTAAACTTAAGAATGCTCAATTACATGGTAAGTGTTGTCCTAGTTTGACCATCGGCAGCTCCTCGATGCTTCTGCGCATCCGAGTCAAATTCAGAAGATAGTCATAGTATGTTTCAGGAAAAAAATCCAAAGTGAATGTGATGTATGTAAGTTAAATCCAATATGCTATTCACCTAAATGTTCAACTAATAAATCAAATGTCTCGACCAAGTCTAGCAGCGTATTGTCTTCTGATGACCAACCACCCCCCGTCCTGTTGGCTGTTATTGACCTCGCAGTACAATTCAATGTACTTGTGCGGGGAGCGGGGTAATCAGACCAATGAATGCGAAAATCAGCTGTTTACGCAACTACTGCTACTTGCCCGAATGGCCGAACCGAACGAGCAGAGCCAGTGATGCCACATATACAGATTTTTCTGGAATGGTACAGATGTTTGTAAAATATATACAGATTTATTCAGATTTTGGGAGAACATCTACAGCATTTTTAAACTGAAAATCGAAAAAAATATTTGTGGAGCTTAAAATACAGATGAAAAATGTGGCATCGCTGGGCAGAGCAACGATCATCAACTCACGATCGTCGCTGTCGAAGAAGTGGCTGCATGTTGTGCTGCAGCAGCAGCAGCCAAAGTCAATCATAACTCAACCGTCGTGCGGTGAAGACAGGTGTGCGTGTTCGCGAGTGCGTCTTTTGCTTACTCCAGTTCCAGTGAAACGGCATTTCTTCAATCGCCTGCAGCGTTTTCAGTTATGTGGTGTACATTTTTCACACAAACAACAGTTGAAGTAAAAGTGCGGTGAACGTTTTCCGTGACCTTACATAAACCAGCTTTCTGGCATTGGTTTGACAAGGGTCAAACTGGGCACAATTATATGACCGAATAAAAAAAAAAGGAAAAGGAAAAGCGGGAAGAGAAATCTACGTGCGAATTTGTGTCACCGACATAGAGTACAGAAAAAGGCAATAATAAAAACAACACTAGCCAGTGTTTGCTGGGGGGAAAGAAGATCACAAAGAAAAGAGAAAAGAGTTTGCGGTCATCATCATCATCAACAGCAACGGCGCGCGCGCCACCGGACAGAAAGCGAAAGAAACCGTTTCGTGAAAGTGTAGCCACCACCACCTCCATCCACAGCACAGGTTCCAGTAGCAGCAGAAGCAGCAGCAGTTCATCGCTCGCCAGGAAGAGATGGATCGATTCTTACGGTTTTTCGTCAAATTTCACGGCTATGCTATCGCACTGCTCAGCATCTTGTTTGCTCTAGTGAGCGTACTCTTCACTAGACTGAATTTCAACTACCCGTTAGACGAGTGTAAGTTTCGCTCGTTCGCTCGACTGATCCAATGTTAATCCAATTCATATTTTTCGAACATATTTTTTTTTATTCGCCACAAACCACAACCCAACTTTCTTTGTTTGGCTCTCGTAGGGTACAATTTTCGCTTCTCCGGCATCCCGATGCTGATATTGGGAGCAGCTTGGATAATGGCCAGCATCGTTCTCGTAGTCGGAGTGTTTAAGGTGATTGGACAACCTAGTTTATGCTTTCTTCTCGCGAAAAGACCCCGTGGATCTTCACCACACACACATGTGGCTTTCTCTCCATTTACAGGAATGCCCCAAGCTGATCTACCCATATGGGGCCGTATTCGTGGTGGAGCTGGGGACATTGATTTTGCGAGACGTCTACCTGCTCGTGGCTGGCAAGGACTGGGACGAGATGGTGTTCATCAACATCAGCGTTGTGCTGTTGCTCTGTGAGTATCCTAATGAAAACCTTTATTTTTTGAGTCATTAATCATAGTTCAAAAAAAATGCACTGGATTGCGGGTTATTGTCCAAAAAATTGCTGCCACACGCATGTGTAATGGAAGACGTGAACAATTTCATGCGTCATTGCTGCAGCTGCATGGCCATCGGGTTTGCATTTATTATCGTTTTGTTTTTGCTCCATTCGATGGGGTTGTGCCAATTATTTTCATTTCCTTTCCTCGCTATCGTTTATTCTTTCCCGAGGTGAATGATTGTAGCAATTGGAAAATTGAATTCGTCTAGTCTTTGCAATGTGTGCAGCGAAAGATGTGCTGTGCATAGTCAAGGTCGATCGACGAGGTTGTTTGCGAACCTATTTAATAAATTTAATTCGAAAATTCGAGCTATTAGTCTTGAAGATTGTAATTATTATCGGTCCTTAGCAGCTTCTTTGAGTAATTGATATGGAAGTGCAAGTTAGTGGCTATATAAATTGGCTACTTTGGGTTTTATCCGGTATTTCCGCTACTGTTCGTATTTTTGATTAAAAATCAAATCTCAGGGCTGGTAGCAAAAATCACTAATGTCACTATTTCTTAAAATTTAGTTACTAAAATCACTTTTTTACGACCCATAACTATTGTCACATAGTAAATAATTTGCCTTTGAAAAATCACCTCAAATAACAGCTTGATTTGGTTAATTAAAAATCAGCGTGTAAAGTACGACGAGAACAGTTCAGGGGAAACATGTCAGAAGGGTCTAACTCGAAAAGTTAACAATGACTTGGATCGTCGGTTTCTTACGAATGACAACACACCCACTCAAACTAACTAAGTCATCTGACAGAACAGAACAATGTTTGTTCTATGAGCTGGTGTAGTCAGATTCCGTGGGTGTGTGGTCATTCAAGAGAAATCGACGTTCAAAGTCATTGTTTACGCTTAGAGTTATACCCATCTGACATGTTTCCCCTGAGTTGTGAACATACCAGAACTGTCCAATTGCTGGTGATGGAAATTGCTCCGGACCAGATTATACAATTTCGCATTTTTCCCTTGTCTGTGATCTAGAAATAACATAGAGAACTTCAACAAAAAAATTATGATTTGTCAAAAAAGGTGGTCCAAATATCATGGCTGTTTAACTTCGTGATCTTGAAAGTTTTCCGAGCACTAGAATTCTATGAAAAATTTCATGCCCTAGATTTTTTTCAATGACTCAAATTTTGAAACATCTTTGAAGCTCGACAGCTTCATTATTCGTCCAATCACCGAGAAAAAATCATATAGAAGAATCTTAAATTCTTTTCTTAGTTCATTATTGCACTTTTTTTCCGGACTTGTAATTTAGAAAAAAAAAACTATGTTCAAGATCATAAAACGTTAACGATATTTAATAGAGCATTAAAATTTTTCAAAGACTGAGCGTACTTTAAATATTTAAATTTGTTCCAAGTCGTAAAATTTTCTTAATTTGTTCGTATTAGAATTTTAAGAACCCAGCATTGAAAAATTGGCCAAAAAATCACTTAAACTTATCCCAGATTGAGATTTTAAGCACTAGAGACATGCACAATTTTCTATGTCTGCGACCTTTCCATCCATCTCCAATTTTCCTCGTTCCAGAAAAGTTAGATTTTTGCTTAGACTGTTACCAACCGGTGAACACTCGTGTTTATTTCAGTTACCGTGGGGACGTAATTTGTAATAGTCCCAGCCTCTTTCAAATTGTATCATTATTTATGTACGGTACTTAAATTTGGAATGACGTTTCACACTCAACTAGTGATGGCCGATTTTCATTCGAATAATAGATTAATCGGTTATATCATGCCGATATAAGCATTAACTTCTGCAGAGGATCATCACCGATCGTTTCAAACATGTTCTGCACTCTCATTGGTGGAAAAATGACAGCACAACGAACAAAAAATAATCGATTAGTTGTTAAGTGAGTAATTAAAAACTGGGACATCTCTGATTTTGGTGTGATTGTTTTGATAAAAAAAAGTGCGCAAAATTTCATCTCTACCGAGGGGGCAGCAAAACCACAAAATTACCTTGCATACGGGGGTATTCATTGGATGAAAGGGACCGTGAAAATGGACACTAAAATAAAAAGTTTTTCTTCTGACAGTTTCATCTTAGTATTCTTCTTTGCTGTTACCTCGTAAAGTTTTGTAGGTCCCATAGCTAAGAAAATTTTCTATATCCAAAATATTTAAAATTGATTAAGTTAAAATTGTCAAAATTTGTCTAAATCCAAGACTTTTTCGTTTCACAAATTCGCGATCTGAATCTTAAATCATCGTAATAAACTGTTTGTTGCAATAAATCGCGTCAGCAAAATGAGGAAATGAGAAACAGAGTCAGGAAATGTGTAATGCACGTGCTTATTGAATAAATAAAATTATTATTTGATTATCGAATACTAATTACAGGACTGTTACAACAGGCGCGGACTTCGCGAATTTCGCGGATTTCGCGATTTTCGTGGATTTGTCGTGGATTTGAACTTTCAGTGGCAAAAATCGCGAAGTGACTGATGTGCTGTCACAAAAATTGTGAAATGCATTGTAACCTTTTTTTTATTTTACTGTCATCAATTTTGTTGTTCATTTTTGCTCTCAATTTTTTATCAGTTCAAAACAAACACCCTTAAATAATTGAGAAATGGTCTCAATTCCATAAGTCACACCGGATTTACACGGAAATTTCCTGGAGTCTGTCCAATGTGAGACATTTTCACGTTTTTTTATTTCCAATATGAACTTATCATTTTTCGCTATCAAATCATAAACGAATCGTATATATGCGAGTAATTGCCATGTATACCGGATATTCTAGGTTCTCCAAATCGTCCTGGAGTTCAGTTGATTTTTTCTACTATATCAACCAAGACTACAATAATGTCTGTAGTATCGAAATGTGTCCAAACAGATTCAAAGTGTCTATGAGGATCGTACCCAACCTATTGCTACGCATACAAAATGTTATAGGTTCTGAAATCATTCTGGAGATCAGATTATTTTTTTACTAGATCACCCAAGACTAATTCAATATCTGTAGTATCGAAATATGCCCACACAAATTTTCAGTGTCTATGTGGATTATGCTAACCTATTTCCGTGTATGCCAAATGTTCTAGGATTTCCAAATCTGTATTTCGATACTACAGATATTATCCTTGTCTTTGTTGATCTAGTAAAACAAATCATCTGAACTGCAGGACGAGTTGGAGAACCTAGATCATCTGGTATACGTGGAAATAATTAAACATTATAGACACTATGAATCTGTTTGAACATATTTCGATACTACAGACTTTATTCCAGTCATGGTTGATCTAGTAGAATAAATCATCTGAACTCCAGAACGATTTGGAGAACTTAAAACATATGGTATACATGGCAATAGTTCATGCATGATCCACATAGACTCTGTGCATCTATCTGGAAATATTTCGATACTAAAGACATTGTCCCAATCTCGGTTGATGTAGTAGATCAAATTATCTGAACTCCAGGATGATTTGAAGAACCTTGAACACTTGGATTACTCGGAAATAGATGATGCATGATCCACATAGACACTTTGAATCTTATTGGACATTTTCCGATACTACAGACATTATTGCAGTCTTGTTTGATCTAGTAGAGCAAATCAACTGATGTCCTGGACGATTTGAAAAACCTATAATTTCCGGTATACATACTAATAAGTCGTGCATGATCCACAAAGCCACATATATACGATTCGGTTATGATTTGACAACGAAAAGTGCTAGGTTCATATTAGAAAAAAATAAATAATGAAAATGTCTCACCATTGGACAGAACCCAAGGAATATCCGTGTAAATATACAACCGCGACGTGACCAACAAGTGTGACTTATGAAGCTCTGGTAATTTCTCGATTATGTGCAGGGTGTTTGGATTGAATCGGTAAAACATTGAGAAAACTAGAGTCAAATTAACTAGGGGAAATGACGGCTTCGGCATGCCAGACTATTTTCGGCAACCCAAATTGAAACACTATTTTCACTGGATTTTCTTACGAAAACACTTCGCTGAATGCATGCAAACGATTCTTTATGCTTTCAGCTTCAATTTGACTATATTTTTACCACTGAGAAAATGCAATCTAGTAAGGTTTTCTTGAAATGAAACACACGCACTACAAATTGTAGCTGATTTCGAGTTGCCGATAATAGAACAGCAGATTTACATGCAGCTCAAATGGAACGGTTGCCGAAGAAAAACTGGTTGCCGGCAATACTCGCTCTCACTAGAGAAGATTGGAGCTTTGTAAAAGCGTTTCAAAACAGTTTTTGACAATTCTTTCGACTGAAATTGTTAGAGCAGCTGGCAGCAAAATATTGTAAACAAACCAATACTGCATATGTGTGCGTTCCTGAGAGAAAAAGGCTATAGAAAGAAGGTCGCTGCTTAGGTTGCCGAGAATACGTAAATTCCCCTTCAACATTTAGGACAGCAAAATACGTCAAGAAAATTGTTTCATCAAAACTAGGCCGCTATTATTCAATAGAATCTCATAATGTAAGGGTGTTTTATTATGTTCACCAATTACTCAGAATTTATACTATACATAAATAACTGAAGATGATACAATGTAATTTAAAAAAAAATAGAGGTTACAAACGATACTTCTTTAGCTCAGTCGGTAAAGGCGCAGCTACAAAGCAAGTCCATGCTGGAGGCGACTGATTTCGATTCACGTCCGGTCTTTTAATTTTTCGGCTTGGAAAAATTCCCTACTTTCTTGGGCATAGGATGGTACGGGCATAGAAAGCTCTCAATTAAAATGTGAAAGTACTTCAAAGAACACTAAGTTGAGAGCAGGCAAAAATCTAATATGCTATAAGCTTGAAATGCCATGTAGTAGTATACAAATGCTATTTTTAGGCAATGAATTTTTTTTGCGCGGATTAGTATTTGAAGTCGCGGATTTCTTTTCAAAAATCGCGGATTTCGCGGATCAAA